TTTGTGATGAGGTTTGGAGATACCCCTAGCTAGATCATGCAAACGACGGAGAAAGGCCCTACCAGGTCTTACCGCCTACAAACAAAATTGGACGACCTAGCAGGGACTGAACATTGCGCAGCGTGATTTTCTTCTGATCGAGCACACTAACGATCGTATTTTGTAAAGCAACATGCTTATCAGTCGGGATTTGAATCTGTCGTGCAACCGTATCGATCGCTAAACCCAGGAAAGTGAGGTTCGTAGCTGGACCTTCGGTTTTCTCTTCCGCGATGGGTACCCCAAATCGCTGACAAACTACTCTGAAAGATTGGAGGGAACGTGCGCACTCGGCATGACTAGCCCCAACGAACAGGAAATCATCCAGATAATGCACAATGTTAGGAGATTCGGCCACCTTACGAGTACAGTACTTAAGGAAAGCCCATAGGCATGCATTTATCGAAATAAAATTATGGGGAAAACCAAGCAAATCAAAATCGCTTGGATGGACGGGGAGTCGAAAGCCGACTTAATATCCGACTTAGCCATCAGGGCACTGCGTGGTAAACCTGCGATCATAGTTATTGCCTCATCAAAACTCGTGTATTAAACTGTGGCGTCTGCGGGATCAATGAAATCATTCACCGATTCGCCGATAGGTGACGACAAATTATGGATTAGCCCAAATTTACCCGGAGTCTGTTTGGGCACCAGGCCCATAGGTGAACAACGGAAATGAGGAAGAGGCTGGGACAAAAACGGGCCAGCAACGCGACCCAAAGCAACTTCACGATCAATTTTTGACTGCTGAATGTCGGGATGTTTGCGAGCAAATGCAGAATTACGAACAGAGGTACTAACTCTGGGACCTGAATAGCCTACCCGGAAACCGCGCAAAAAACCTTCTTGCAAAATGTGGGAGTCCTGAATATTAGGGTAAGCCCGTTAAAGAAGGAGCATATTACTTAATTTTACCGGGGTTGATGCCAGCTGCCGGCACCTGTGCTGTGACGCGAGACTGTGAGTTTCCCCGAAAACGGGTTGCGCGGTGGCCAATTGCCTTGCAGGTGGAGCAGCGATGCCCGAAGCGACACAAGGGGCGATTGCACTGACCGCGGTTGAAGTCGTTTGGGCGCGACTGGGCGCCGACCAGGCCCGAAATCGGACCAGGGGTTGGCGGCAGTGGAGGGGGCACACTCGCGGACG